TCACCCTATTTAAGAGCAAACAATTTTTTTTTATTTTTGCTATGATTTTTCCTATCCTGTTAATGCTCTGACCAAAAATTTGATACCCTATTTAAGTACTGACCCTTTCATCGATACCCTAGCTGTTTCAGACCTGGCGACATTTAAGAGTGTTTTGTACACACAGCGTAAAGCTTGCAAGGGATGTTGCCATTTCAGCCAATTTTTTATCAAGATAGGTTAAATTTAAGTAAGAAATTTCGCCAACTACCGCATGTATTCTACTAGTTTTCTCTAAGATTTTTCTCGATGCTGATTTATTATCTGATATTTTGTTGTGGGCATTGTCTGAAAAACAATACATTTTGCAAGTTACCCAAATCTGCAAAATACTTTGAAAATAATTTATGACGACTGGCAGTGAAAAAGTTTGAAATGTTTTGTTTTGTTCAATCTGTTAATCACCAGTTAAGTGCAATGTGCAGATGCTAAAATGAATTGTTGATGAAATAAAAAAATAATAATAACTGCACTTTGGTATTCAAAAGTTCTACAGGGCAGGGGGATGAGTGTTTTCAAGTTCCAAAATGTCAATTGTGTATCACCACAATCAAAGAGACTTAGTTTCGATTTCTACTGAATTCCAATTACTTTGACAATTAGGCTTTATTGAATTATTGATCAGTAGAAAGTGAAAATGGTGATTACAATTTGCCATTCAGTGGTTTTATCGTTGGTTTTTTTATGGAGTTCAAAAACATTGTGAGTTTTCAAAAATATTCAATTTTCATTTCTGCCAAACTCTCATTACTTTGACTATGCAGATTTATTACAATGCATTATTGATGAATTTAGAAATCAAAATTGGGATTTCACTATGTGATTTGGATATTTTATTTCTTTTTAAAACTAAACTCTCATAACTTTGTTTGAACTTTTGCTGAAGTGATAAGTACAAAATGAATGTCAATTACCTGTTCTGTTTATTAATCCCTTTGAAATTAGGCTACAAAGTCTTGGTTGTTTTACGGTCCAGAACTCACGGAGAATCCATGAAAATAATTACCCCCCATTTGGGTTGTGTTTTTCTTGACAAAACATTATGGGCCATTGTAAAGTTAGTGAT